TGATTTTTCTTGAAATCTGGAATTTTAATAATCGGAGGAATTGTTGAATTTTGGAACCAAAACTTGATTTGGAGTTTATTGTTTTGTGTTCTCAAATGCTGAATATTATTCTAGTTAGTAGACCAGCCTTACTGTGAACAATGGTTAAATTTTATTACAGTACAATGAGAATTTTAGAGGGGCAAAAGATATGCATACAGTGCGAAATGGAGGAATGTGATAGTGGCTGCGATGTTAATGTTGGGATGTGGCAGCTGAAACTAAACCACATGGCAATGATTTAATTATGTATATATATGGGGTAGTATTTTCGGTCAATTAGGTTTCAAGAGAAAATGTAATTTTAAACCAGGGGACAATAAAATAGGGGATAGGATGATGTTGATGAAACTGAAAGTTTATAAAAGTATGAAAGAAATGCTGTTGCGACTTCAAATTTTAAAGACCTTGAATATTCAAGGTTGCTGATTCATTTTTTTTTTTTTGAAGACTAGGAATAAATTATCTAGTTCTATATATATATAAATCTGTCTTTGCCTATATAATTTATAAGATTTGATATTTGCCTGAGTTCATTAAGAAAGGAGCCAAGGAGGAAACAAGGGGAAGGGAGTGCGAAAGAAAAAGCAAAAGGTAGTAACTCTTTTCCTTTCATGTGATTGTGCATTGATTGCCACATGCTTGAATGTGTTGTTATGCTGATTGTGCATGACAACATGTAAGTTGCCTTTGCATGATATTATTTGTCATGACAATATGCGTTGGTTTTTATTTATTTTGGAATGTGGGAGCGATAGTTAGCGACTGGTTATATGGGTGTATGGTGTACGTGCATCATTGATTATATGTGGATGCAAGGTGTTGTTTTCTTTGGCCTGTGTAGCATGTTGTTTGTGATCTTATATAATTATATGAAGGAAATTTGTTATTATTGGGATTCTCTAGAATCTCACCTCTTCTTCCATGTAACAGCAAGAGCAAGTACTTTTAAGGGCAAGAGAGTAGTGATTGGTAGAGCTTGAAGGTAAAGGAAACTGAAGATTTTTTGTATATATATTTTGTTTAAAATGCATCTTATTTTGGAGTGAAGATATAATGTATATCTATTTTGATATGTAAATAGTCCTCCATAAGGAGGTGGCTAAGGGCGGATAAATTATAATAACTGCTATTGAAGGAAATTGTCAATAGTTTGATATGTAGTTATTATTATGCCTAAAATTATGTGTATCTGTATATGTACCCTGTCGTATGAGCCAATGACCAAGGTATCGAATGTTAAATCCTACTGGTTATAGTTGACCTAATACAAGATTCAAACAGCTGGGCAGAAATAGAATGGGTTCGGTGGTTGAATGCGAACCCTGGGTCTTAACTGTTTTTACCCTTTTTGTAAAAAGGTTTAATCAAGTACTTGAACCACTACATAGGTTACTTTGAAAGTGAGTTTTTGAAAAGTTTGAAATTTTTCAAAAAATCCCATTTCTTGAGTAGGATCATACCTTGTTTTTGGGAATACTAAAAAAAGAAAAGTCTTTCTTAGGATGAAACATGGCTTTTAATGGTTCGAGATTAAATAGAATAAATCTACTGGTGTACAAGGGATAAGTGTTACAAAAACTCCTAATTCTACTCGATTTCTCATAAGGATTCCAGAATAGAAGCTGGCATTGTGAAAACCAATCTTTTTGACCCTTAATGGCAACCCATGGGTTTTGAGCCAGTTTTCGTTTGACATTCTTACTAAAATTGGGCTAATGGCATATCATATAAGCCTACGCTTGAGTTTGAGTAAACTATAATATCCTTGATGTATTTTGGTTAAAGAAATATCAGCTAGACCTGAAGCATGTCATCAAACATAAAGGTGTCAGCTTGCAAGGTGATCTAACATATGCAGTTCAAACAGAATCAATCATCGATAAGCAAGAAAAGAAGTTGGGGATTAGAAGCACCCCATTCATAAAGGTAGTATGAAAAGTATTATCTCCCAAAGGAGCTACATGGGAGGTAGAGGAAGACATGCGAAAGTAGTATCAAGAGTTTGTGCCTCAGGGTTAAATTTTAAATTTTGAGGATAAAATTTGTTTTATATGGGAGAATTGTAACATCCCAAATTTAAGATACTGGTTAAATACCTTAAGTTGGCCCAAAAGTTGAAAGTATGAGGAGTTTATGGTCAGAAAATATAAATAAGAGTAAACATCGGGTGAAAGTATAATTATGCAAAAATGACAAAAAATTAGAGAAAAATCACAAAAAGTATATAAGAGATTTCTAGGGCATATTTGAGGCTTAAGAACATTATTTAAAATTTAAGTGCCTCAAAAATGCATTATTGGCCAAAAAGTTTAATTCGAGTAAGAATTTCAAGAAAAAATTATTAACATTATTTAAAACCCAAGAAAATATGGGAAAACATCATGAAGTATTATTTTGAGAATTTAAAAAAATTTATATTCTGAAAATTAGAGTGGACTTGCGAGACCTTGCTCGGACTTACCCAAGCTTGACCAAATCATGCTAAGACCTGCTTTGAGCTTGCTTGGACCTTGTCCTGACATGCATTGGGGAAATTATGATAAGGTCCCATGGAAAAATATAATTGCTAAATATGGCTAACAAAAATTTTCACAAAAAAGATTAAAGAAGTCTCAAAATAATATGTTCAATCAAAGACGGGAGGAAAAAGATTAAAAAAAAAATATTCTCATGATACTATTGCTGTATAATATAGGGATCTAGAAATGGTTTATCTCCAGGATGGGAACCAGGTGCCCATACTTGAGATCCGTTCTCATCCATGAGATGAAATCTAAAGCATCGAATCTCATTTGAATGGTATAACTTCCAAGTTTTTAATTCTTGAAATTTGAGTGATAAACTCATTTTTAAAAAACTGGAACCTAGAAAAATATGTCTATTTTACATCATACACATATTAAAATTAAAAAGTCTCAAATAAAATAATAAAATTCATTATATCTTGACCATACAATTATTAGTGAGCATATGTTACAAGATACATGGGCGTGTAATCCATTAGCATAATGAAAGAAGCCACGGGGGATTTCGCGTTTTCTTGAAGAGAGAATGAGAAATTAAATTTATCTTCCATGTGCATCTATATGCATTGTTTTTAATATGTATTTTTGTGATATCTCCGAATGCTATTGGTTTCATAGTTTTTAATATCTTGGGAAGGTTGAATGAAACTGTTTTTTATAAGCCAAAAGGTGAGATATTAATTATGTTTTTTGAAAAAATTATCCCCATTTAAAATTCAATGCATTTTTTCCATTTTTGCTTCTTAATGTGTAATTCATAATTAGTGAAGTGATTGAAAGTACCTTCAAATAATCCAAGTGATGACTTGTAATGGTAAAAGGAACTACTTAAGTTCTATTCATGGTCCAAGTAATCTGAAGTTGAACCGGTAGCACCACCACATGGGCCTCTTTGACATTTCACAAGTGCAAGATGACATGTATAGCTTTATTTATAAGTTATTTTTAACATATTTTATCACAGTTAAAAAATATTTTAAACCTAATTAATTTTATCTTGAAATTTAATAACTCGCTGACTTCACTCCTATATTTAATATATACATTTTTCAAGAAAATAACAATCTCTACATAATAATAAATGAAAGGTAAATGTACACATTCATGTAAAACTTTAATGATATAACTTATAAATATATGTAAAAAAAAATCTACTCACTGTGACTTATAAACAAGACTAGATTAGTATGTCTCAACTAGGGAGCACAAAATTTTCGGCAAAAAAATATTTATTATTTTTTAATAAACAAATTTGACATCAATAACGAAAATGTATGATTGTCTATTTTATTCATTGATGTATTTTGGAAAAAGTTCGTAAGAGGATTGAATAATTTGGGCATATTGTCTTCTTTTTTTTATTGTCATAACTCACTACATATTAATTATATCTTTTATAGTATCGGCAAAAAATATATATATATCTTTTACAAAAGATATGAAATCACAACTTCATGTTTAAAAATATCTGATGATGAGAAATGTTTAGTGTTAATTAGACTGCAAAACCCCCAATAGTTACGCGGTTTCTATCAAGCACATTATTTAAGATAATATGCGTACCGTGGTCATTACTAGAGAGATCTTATATCACATTGATTATGTTATTTGGCATGATATTGCTCTTAACATTTCATATGAAGGTTCTTTCTTCCTCTTTTTCCCCTCTAAAGTGGATATTTGTTGATTCCTTAATTTTAAATAAGGTTTCATTTGGGTACCTAAATTTAATAAAGAGTATTTTAAGTTCTCTAATCCTATTACTATTAGTTATATTCAAACAAAAAAAATACTAATGTTAAAATTGCAAATGTTGATAAAATATTATCAATTGTCTCCATATTAAGTCTAATCTCTTAAAGTAATAATGTGAAAAATCAGTGAAAAATCTGTCTGAAAATTTTATTGGCAATAATGATTTGATATGTTTTTATACACGAAAGATACTAATATTATACAGAATTTCATGTGCAGGAAGCACCAATAATAATAATAATCAAATTTAGGTCATTCTGCTAAATACTATTTTCAAACTACTTTTTACATACTTTCCCATAATAATAATTGGTACAAAAAATATCATTTGAGAACACGAAATACTTTATAAAATTAAGAATTAAATTGAAATCTTATATAATATTAAACTATTAAAATTCTCCTTCTATCCCCTTTATTAATAAAGAAGATTCCCTATTCATCAGGCTAATGAACTCTTAAATTTCTTCTCGTTTCTCAAAGAAAAGATCGACAAGCAGACAAGACAGGAACATGGAATTAATCCGACATAAGTTTATTATCTAGCAAAGAACCAAAGAATTAATCATTTACATCCACAGGCCAATGATGATACAAATCAATTCCCAATAAATCAATAAAAAACATACAATGGACATAACATTATTATTCTATAAATAATAATTATAAAAACAAAGTTTAAATGTCAATATCAAAAGGCACACCGGTTGGAGGCAACCAAGTGTTACCAGCAAGAAGTCCAGCAACAGAAAACTGTTGTGTATCATTCTCGCTCGTCAAGACATGAAACCGAGGCCATTGAACCCTATCTTTTGTTGATGAACCAGTCCCAGAGTTCATATATTCCCCAAAATAACACGTATCCTGAGCAAAATCACTATCACCCCATTGAGACCAACCCAATGGATTCACCAATCCTTCAATGTAGGTTTTCATTGCAACAACTCGTGCATATTGCTGCCATGGCCCACCCAAATAGGTTTCATATGATTTTACGACCGGTCTGAGATCCGGCGCGGCTCGAATGCAAGAATTGATTATTGATATTCCGGTGTTCTGAAACGGGTCACCTCGCCCTTGAGCCGTGATCATGTTTCCTTGTCCCTGTAAGGGCTTTCTCACAAGAATGGTGCAATTTTGCAGAACAATTGCAGCATCGCCCCAAATGAAATCAACTGTGCCAAAAATGCTGCAATCTCTATAGAATTGACGTTGTGCATGAGCCATTAGAGTGTCTTGATAGCCTTCGATAGAGCACTGGTAGAAGATGGAGAGGTCGGAGGCTGATTGGAGTGCCAGCACTTGACCTTTCTCAGGACCGGCTGTGTTTCTAAAAGTGATGTCTCGTGCAATGAAGTGGGCACCATCTATACCTAAAAATTTTGTAATTTAAAATCTAGTTAGTCATTATATACATTACCAAGAAGTCAATGAATCAGTGCATAATATGAAATCAACAAGAAATTGATTTGTTAGCACTTAAAGTCATTTCACCTAATTTTTGGTCTAGTCTCTACATTTTGTTTCCTTTTGTTGGGTCCCTACAGTTTTCTTAATTAATTAATCAAGTCAACAATGACGACAGAGATACATATAATAGGAATGCTAGTTCCCAATGGAGATTTTGAAAATAAAATTAGCTGAAAATGTTTTGCAATTAAAATTAAATAAATGTTTTTATATGCTTGTGCCAAATTTAGATATATTCTGAAATATATTTATATTTAATGAGAAACAATCTTCAACTATTGGTGTCAAGATGTAGACATTTAATTTTACATGTCATATGAATTAATCACTATTAAGTCCAATATTATTTATGAATATAAATTTTTAACTAATTCTCTTCTAATATGTATATATGCTTATTGGTTATAACTTTGTTATGTTTTGGTATAACTTAGAGTATCCTCAAGTCACTCTGAACTTAAAACTAATTTCTTTTAAGGTAATATTAAGTTGATATTTGTTGTAAAAGCCAACCAAACTCACCATAATTTATAAATTATCAAAAAATTTCTTTCTATTGGCATGTGCTTCGAGTTAATATTTAGAGCAAATATCAATTTATGACAAAAACAGAGCGAATATTAAGGAATTCTTCAGACCCAAAAAATTCCCAACTTCTTGGATAAAGGCTACTTAAGGAAGCACACAACTAGTGGTCTCAAGATTGAGTTAGGAATTAAGGGAGTCATTAAGAAATTAATTAAACCAATAAATCGGTATATATAAATTGAATCTACACTTGGCGGCTCGACTAAAGGTGAAGAATTAGTCTATCTAAAGTGTTTCTTTAACGTTAGAAGAGTACGAATATTTGGCTGAGTCTACAACTATTTCACAATGATTAAGAAACCTTACTAGTTTCTGAGAAATAATAGTTGTATACTTGTTCAATACATTACTTATTTATAATGAAGAAGCAATTTCTAGTTAGGTGACGAGTAATTGAATCGCACTTGGCTCGTACATTGGATGCGTTTTCTTGAAGCACACGTACACTGGAAAATCAAGGCCATCCCCATGTGCATGTAGTTTATAGAGTAAGGAACGGAAATAGAATTAATAATTAATAGAAGATTTTGTATAATCAATATTTTTTCGGGTAAATTATGTGGTACTATCAATTTCTTTCTTTTTTTTTTAATATAAGTCCATGTAAAACGCGTATGAACTATCTAGTTGTCTATTAAAAGCCTAAGATTGAAATTTTTGAAGAGAGTGACTCAGTATTGCATAATGATAGTTTCAGCATCTATTTGATGGCCTCTATTGACATGAGATCAAACGTAACAATCCAATTATGCGTCAAAAATGTTGCGTATTTTTTCAACTACTTCAAACTCACTTTGTATCCTAATCTGGTAACTATCTCACTATGGATATTTTCGTTCATAAAATTTTAACTTATGAATCCAACTCTGTAGTATTGGTGGATTAATTAATCAATAATTTTGACCAACAGTAAAGTTTGCAAGTTATGTGTCAATGGGTAAAAAATGGACAATTGAAAAGTGAAGAGTAACATCAAAGAGTTATAATTTGTAAGATTGAAGCAAATTAATGATCAAAATATCCTCTTGAAGCTATTAGCATTTTAGTTTAGCGGTACAAAGTTGCCACCGCTAATGACAGACTATGGAATGTTCAATCACACTTGGTTTCTGCTAGCTGTTAAATTTGCCACTTTGTAATTTTTTTTTTCAAAAAATCTATTGAAACAATGAATAGAGAATTTTTTTAAATGTTTTCTTGGGCTACAACTCTGTCTTGCAACCCAAATTTACATGACTTGATTTCAATATTCTTATAATAATGGATTATTCATCTACGGATAACATAGCAAATGCTATAAATCTCTATAATAATGAGACAAATCAGGATGTAACTTTTAAGGGCATGAATACTAAGTTTAGACAAAGTAAATATATAGTAACTTATTTTTATGATCTTTGGTAGTAAATTTTATAGTTTTAAAATGACATAAAAGTTGAGGTTTTTAAACTCATAAACTCCACTTCTCCTGCGACACTAGTGATGTAGTGGCTCCATTTTATGACACTTCACTTAACCTCCTGCTAGCCAAAACTTTTTATAGTTATAGCTCTCTCTATGATGTCAACCCTCTCAATGCGAACAATAGCAATTTATTTTAGTACCCAATAGTGTTTCAAACATATTGTTTATAATAAACGGATAATTGTACCTAACAAAAAATATATTTTGTTTTGCTATTGTTCTTGTTCACACCCTTTGTTTTATTGAATATGGAGGAGTAGTGTGAAGAAGGATATCTGTCACCTAAATAAAATAAATTGCTCATTAATGACGACAGAGATATATAACTGGAATCAGCTCACGTACAACCAAGTCATTTAAATTTAAAAATTTCCAAGATGACTTATTATAAAAGCAAACATATGTCGATAAAATTTATATTATGTGTATAAAATATTCCTGGCACGTCTGTCTATTATTTGAATCAAAATCACATCATATTATTTTGTAAAACGAAGTTAGCCAACGACGAAAGATTGACAAAGAAATAAATGTAATGATCAAAATAAACTAAGTTTTTGAGACTGGTTTCTGAAATAATCTGAAACTGATATCTGACTCACTAGTTTAATTTTACAAAGAATCTCCCATACATATGATCTCAAATAAAAGAACAAATATACAAGACGACAACATGAAAAATTAATCTAGTATTATATTTATTAAGCACCAATATTCCATCATAGAACATTGTATACATACATCTTCACGTACATTACAATCTAATAGATTAAATGAATTCCCAAAACAAACTGATGAAAGGATATATAATGACAAATACATATAATTTCCCTGTAGGAAGCCCAAAGGTTAAATATAATTATCAAACACCCATACTATAAGGTACCCCAGTGCGAGGCAACCATTTGTAACCATGAAGGAGTCCAGCAACAGTGAACCGGGTTGCCTCATTTGAACCAGTTATGACATGAAACCCGGGCCATTGCACCCTATTCTTGGTCGATGAACCGGCCCCAAAGTTCTTAAATTCCCCAAAATAACACGTATCTTGAGCAAGCTTACCATCACCCCACGGAGACCAGCCCTTTGGATTCACCAAGCTTTCAATGTACGTATTCATGACAACTACTCGAGAATATTGCTGCCATGGCCGACCCAAATAGGTTTCAAATGAGTGTAAAACCGGCCTGAAATCCGGTGCGGCTCGAATTTGAGAATTCATTATTGATATTCCGGTGTTTTGAAATGGGTCTCCTCGTCCTTGAGCTGTGATCATGTTTGCTTGCCCTTCAAGTGGCCTTCTCACAAGAATCCTGCAGTTTTGTAGAACAATTGCTGCATTGCCCCAGATGAAATCCATTGTACCAAAAATTCTGCAGTCTCTATAGAATTGACGTTGTGCATGAGCCATTAGAGTGTCTTGGTAGCCTTCGATGGAGCACTGGTAGAAGACAGAGGTCGGAGGCTGATCGGAGTGCCACCGCTTGACCTTTTTCAGGACCGGCCGTGTTTCTAAAAGTGATGTCTCGTGCAATGAAGAAAGCGCCATCTATGCCTGAAATTTTATAATTTGAAAATGAATTAAATGCTTGTCTGGTAATTGATTCGAAACATGTGATTTGATAAAAACTACCTTAGGTGGTGTTTAGGAATCCTCAGAATCACTTAAAATAAAGTGTTTTCATACAAGTTGAACTTCTCTTACATGTTTATTTCAAACTCCGTAAAGTACTCTTTAAAATACTTTTTTTTTTATCATTGTATTATACATGATAAATCTCCAAGTGGCCCCATTCACACATCATAAACAGCATGACTCGTTCCTCACACTCATTCATTAAAATTGTATTTTAGAAAAGTCGTATTTAATGATCTTAGTAAGACATGTTAAATAAATAAATTAAAGAGCTTAATTGAAATTTCAGAGAAAATCTGAAATAAGTTAAATAAATAGCTCACCTGCTGTTGCGGACATGGAGGGGGTGATCCCATCTTTGACACTTCTACTACCAGTTATAATGGTGACTCTCGATCCATCGCCAATAATCATTAGATTTTCATTATCCTTATCAACTTCAATATTCTCTTCATAAATCCCTTTCTTCACACGGATCACAAACCTTGTCTTCACTCTTCTCCTTGATGATGCATCAATGGCGGCTTGCACTGTCTTAAAATGGCCCGTACCATCTTGAGCCACCACAAGATGTGCCTTCACCGACGATCGCTTTGAGCTCAATAGCCTCCTTTCGTGACCAGAAAACCAACGGGGAAATCCATATGCTTCTTCTTCTGTATTATTCTCTTGCTGCAGAAATTTCCCATTAACGGCTAACGCATTGCTTATCATCTTCCTAACACTCTCGCTCACATTATTTTCAGCCGTAAACTCTCCGACTCTGAGCTGCAACGCGCCGCTCCGGCAAGTTTCGATGTTTGTGACGGCAGTGCTGAGCCATGTTTGTGCGTCTGATAGGGAGCAAGAAGCTGTGTGTAGGGCATGAAGGGTTCGGTTTAGATGGAAGATGGTATTGTCATAGAGCTTCAAACAGTCATGGAAGACACATTTCTGCATCTTGGTTGCACATTTTGGGCCATACTCTTGAGCTTCCTTATGCATGTCTTGTGCTTGGACCAGTGCCAAGTGAACCAGCATTTTCCTGAACTCTGACGGATGGTTCGGTCTAAACCAGTTCATGTGGGATTTGCATGACTCGGGGTGAGGAGTTTGGTTGCACCAAAAATCTACGGCGGAAGGTAATGAAGAAGAAGAGGATGATGATGATATTGAGAAAAGAGAAGAAAATAGAGTGAGGGTAAAGAGTAGCTTAAAAGTGATTGATGCCATCTTGTTCTGCCTTGGTTCTTTTGTTTCCGCTTGTGTTTTGTTATGTTAACCTGGAGGTATTACATATATATTTATAGGGTTTCTCAAAACAGTCATAGCTTAGGTTGGGAGCTTTTTTCCGAGAATCGAGGAGGGCGATCGAAGAAGGATATGAGTTGGCGAAATAATAGAATAAATCAAACAAATGACTAGAGAGAGATAGATAAACTGTTCACGCGTGTACACGATGCTCATTATTTAAAAAAAAAAACAAGAAGAAGATAAAATTACCTAAAACAATATTAAATATTTCTGGCTTGTGATTTAGAAATGTAAAATATATTTGCCACTTGTTTCTATTATTTGACCAATAAGATATATTTTCATTATAGAAAACAAATCAAGTTAGCAATCGAAATAGCGATTATAAACAATTCATCAAGAGGATTAACAATACGTGGCGGCTAATTAAGGTGCGAGGAACGGGTAAGAATTAGTCAAATAGAAACTGCATGAAAGACAACAATACGTGTGGCTTTCTTTAGCAGTCAAAGCGAATGCAAATTTTTGGCCAAGTGTGTGCTTTAGAGGCGGCGCGTCACTATAAAACATTTACATTTCATCATAAGAAAGCCTATTTTCTGAGCAAGAATAGTTGTACACTTGTTTACCATACTTAAGACTGATGTCACAATCTTGAAGATAAAGCAACTCTGCCCAAAAATAAATAAATATCTCAAAATACTACTTATTTTGGTGCTTTTTTTATCTTATTTAATACAATTTAAATACACGCATGCACATAAAACATGCTAATGTCGGGTTTAAGCCCAAGGCCTCATCCAAGCGTGACGAGTGGCTTTGTCTCGGGAGCAACTAACTGGTGACATTTCTTTCTGTTCTAAATGTAGAAGCAAGTTGAGGGATTTGTTCTAATTCTAAATGAAAGATGTCAATCAACTTTATCTCTTAAATTTATAATTTTTTTTTTTACCAAACTATTCATATTTCAGGGGAAGCTAACACTTTCTCTTTAAAAAAAAATAACTTAACTAATTTTTTTAATTCTTATATATTAGTAATCAAACTTTTATATTAAAAAAAGGAAATAAAGCGATAGTTTATAGCCGGGTGGAGAACAATCCAATTTCACCAGCCGCGCGTACAATGGACGCGTTTTCTTTAATTACACACTATAGAATAGGACCAATATTTTTTTCCCCCAGCCATGTGCATGTAGTTTACACAGAAAGCAATTGTAATAGACGACCCAAGTCAATAATATATTTCAATTATGTCTTATTTTTCTAAATTTCGTACGGAAAACCATTAGATTAGTACGGAATTCATGTAAATCCAGGTAATCTTATGACTGGTACGTTCATGCATATTCATGTAAATGATGATCAATATAATTAAGCCCAATATATGAGTCATCTGTGGATCATTAAATGCTCCATCACAAATATCTCTACTTATCATCGAGTTCATGTTTATTTTCACTACTCTTACTTCTCTGAAACTCCGCTTGTTAATATTTCTCATCTCCGCCTATTTTTTATGCTTTCTTATGAGTGGCATCAGAGCCTGGCTCTCGATTATAAATTCTCGAGGTGTCTATTATCATAGAGTTTGACATCAAGAAGTTTCATTGCAAGATTGCTTTTTGCAATTTAATTTAATGAGTTCAAGTGAAGGCTATTCTTACTTAGAATGGGTTGGAGGAAAGCCTTGCTTGGTAAGGCAAATAAAATAAGCCAGTGACTATGTTTGATGAGCAATGGAAAGAGTTCGATGAAAAAGGCTCTTTTGGAAATTAAGTTGGAGTCTCTGTGTGTATCTGAAACTTTTGCAAACAAGCTTCGTCTCAAAGAATGATTATACAGCATTTGTAGGGTTGAAGGTACTCTTATACAATCTCATCTTGATTATTTTTTGGATTTTCCCTCCGGTATCCCACATCCAAAGGATGTAGACTAATGCAGAGTCGCCCCCAGGCAGGGACTTCCCAGGATTCGAGCCCAAGACATGGTGGGTACGTGGCGCCTTGCCTTCCCCTTATCGAACCAGTCGGACCAGCCCTCTTGGGCCTCATCTTGATTATTTTAATTCCACTATATTATTATGATTTTGGAAAATTAATATCGATGTTTAAATTAGAACATGAGGATAAAATAGAAGTGTTTTGATGGTCGTCTCATTGCCTCGCTACTCTTATACTCCCTCCGGTCCTATTTATAAGATCTTGTTTGTAAACTACAAATGAGGTCTTATAATTAAAACCAGAGGTAGTAAATAATTTTGAGGAAAATAATGTTGTATGAAAATTCAAACACCTTGGCCATTGAAGATGTAAAATCTAGTTTACTATCCAAAAAAAAAAAAAAGGATCTTGTTAAAGCCCACTTTGAGGACAAAGGTGAAGGCTGATGTGCTCCTACATATTTTCGGTATTTTGTATAGCATTTTATATGCTTTTTGTGGGGTTTATATGATGTATTTGGGACATCATTGCATCATTTATGCTTTATTGTGTTCAAAAGATAATTGCGTGAAAATAACATTAAAATGGTAATAAAATTGTCATATTTATATGATTACTCTAAATTATTTTTATTTTGGGAGATATTTGGTATTACGGTATATTGAACTTTATTGCAGATCATTTGTGAGATTGGAGCAAATGTGATAGATGCCAGATAAGAATCCAAAACGTTGTTGTCAGAAAACCAAAAGAATCACAAACAAAGTTTCAAAATGACAAAAGAGATCAAAAGGCTAGAAATTCATAGCCTTACTCACTACAAAGAAACAGGGAATTAGTGACAAAATTTAGTTACAGCATTTTATTTCATTGATAATCCACCATTAATCCATCACAAATTCCGTTCCTAAAATTAACAATAGAATTTAGTGACAAAATTTTTGTCACTAAATTAGTGACTAAATTAGCAACCAATTAATTCTGTCATTAAATTTTGTTACAAATCCGTTGCTAATTCTGTTATAAAAAGATTAGTAATAGAAATTAGTGATAATTTTTTCTTTCTAATCTATCACTAGCTCCCATCACAAAACATTTTGTGACAGAATCAGTGACAGAATTTTTCGGTCACTAATTTCAGTCGCAATTCCGCCACTAATTCGTCACAAAAAATATAATATAAATATGTAAATTATTTTTAATATTTATTATTAAAATAAAAATATAATATATCATAATTTTTAAATAATATATTATATAAAAAAATATTATAAATGAAAATAAAAATAAAAATATATAATATACTTATTATTTCATTAAATATTTGAATAAAAATATTAATTACTAGAAATTTTTTACTAAAATACAAAAATTAAATTGAAATAAAGAATAATATATTAAATTATATATAATATTTATTATAAATATTTGTATTTGTTATTAGAAATAGTATATATGTTTGTTTTTGCACAAAAATTTCATAGGTATTTCTCAACTCAATTAGCAAAGACTTTAACATGCCTACAAGAGGTCTCAGGCTTGAACCAACACTCCTTCATGTGACATAGCAATGACGTGGCTGCTCACAATAATGGACACATGATGACAACGTGGATGACAGGATGACGTGACATCATAGGAGGGAGAGGAAGAGGTGAGGTGGCTATTAGTGATGATGTGATGGCTCACAATGATGGACATGCGGTGATGAGGTGGCGGGCAGTGATGAGGTGGCGGTCACCGACATGACACATGGCAGTAATCAACAGTTGCCATGTGGTATTTTAAATTTACAAAATAAAAAAGATTTAGCAATGGATTAGTGACGAAAATTTTTGTCACCAATTTGTGATGGAATTTCCATCACAAGTCCATCACTATTTTTTGACAGAATTTATGCTAGATATCCATCACTAATTAGGGCGACGAATTAGTGATGAAAAATTCCTGTCAGTAATTTGTCGCTAATTAGGGATGAAATTTTAAATTCCATCACTCAATAATTAGTGATGATGAAATTAGTGACTGAAACAATTTTATCATTAACTAAATTTTATCGCTAATCTGTCACTATTTTAATTAAAGACAAAAATTCTGTCACTAAATTTTATTGTTAAATTTTTTTTCTTTTTTTGTAATGACTACTAAAAGAAAAGTGCACCATAGCGCACGGCGTGACAGCATAGTAAAATCGGGTTGTTCGGCCAAATTTAGAGCACCCACTTGGAAGACCCAGCCAAACTCATCATTTTGGGTAATTTCTAGGGGCTAGGTTCGGTTAAAACCACCTTGATTCACTATACCATCGGTCTCCAACGCTGTCACCTTTATCTCCATCATTTTCCAATTTCCACCATTCTTTCTATGTCTTTGATAACCTTTCAAAATTCCTACTAATTCAACTTGTTTTAACACTCTTTTCCGGGTTTTAGAAATTAATTGTGCATGGTCATTTCCTTAAAGCTAGAAAATATGGCTTGATAAAGTAAACTTTGATTTATGCTAAGAATTGGGGATTATTTATGCAATGCTTCTAAGATTTTTGTTGCAGGAAATAGCAAGAGCTGAAAGATAAATGACAAGGAGAAAGATTCAAGCAATTTTGGTTAATCAGAGGAACATCAAGGACACAAAGCAAGCAAAGATGGAAGACCAAAGGTAGAGAGGCTGAAAAAGCACTGTCTGCCATGACCCCTGAAGCAAGTCGCCACGATGTCTCCAACAGAAAAGAAGGAGAGGCATTTTGTATAAGGTGCCGTAGTGCCTGTTTATATTTGTCACGATGCCCAACCCTTTCTAGAAAGTTCCCATTCTGTGTAATCCACCGCGGTGGATGAGCGTATCTGCCGCGGTGTCTGTCCCCTTACAGCCATGCATTTTGCATTTGTAACTTAAAAATTAGGGCATATAAGAGAGGAAACTCGTGATTTTGACAAACTTAGACTTGGGGGCTTATTTGGAGGTGTGCTTTGCTAGGTTTGGTGGTTTTAAAACTTGGAAACATTAGGCTCTAAGTTGCAAGAGATTGGAAGCTTCT